TGGAGTTGCTAGCAGAGTTGGGGCAAATCCACGACACTTTTCATGTGTCACAATTGAGGAAGTGCATAGCCGATGAGTCGGCAGTGGTTCCATTAGAGGATATTCAGGTGGATGCAAGCCTGAATTATGCTGAGAGACCAGTGGCCATCAGGGATCGGAAGACCAAGGTTCTGAGGAACAAGGAAGTACCTCTGGTGTTGGTTCAGTGGCAACACCGGAAGGGATCGGAAATGACTTGGGAGACGGAACGTGAGATGCGGGAGCAGCATCCGGAACTATTTTCAGAGTGAGACTTCGAGGGCGAAGTCTAAGCCTAGTGGGGGAGAATTGTAACAGCCCGGAATCTCAGGTATTGTTTAAATTGTGTTTTTGGGGTGTTTTAAGAGGGGACTCGGCGAGTTGGAGCCAGACTCTCTGAGTAGGATCGTAGACCTGGTCGCGGGTTCGCGACTAGACTCGACGAGTCCAGATATGGACTCGGCGAGTCCGCGCTGTTTAGCGAAAACCCTAGCCGTTCAGATTTGGGATGTATAAAAGGGACTTATTGGCCGTCATTGTTCGTTTTAGCCTTCTGAGAAGAACCCTAAATCGATTGTGTGCATCTAGAGCAAGGTTAAAGGCCATTGGTGATTTTGAAGGAGTTGTTGTGCAAGGAAGAGAAGGGCTTGGCTAAAGGAATAGCAAGGGAATCACATTCTAAGGATTGGGGACACAGAGAGTACATCATCTAGGTAAGAATTCGAGTATGCTCTGCTATGGTGATGTGTTTAGAGGATTAGGGTTTATGGAACCCTTTTGTGGATAGATTGAATGTTACCCTAGTCCCCCAAACGATTGTAACCCCGTGTTGGGACCTTTGGAGGTCCAGAATGTCCCATGTCTGTGCATTCCGGGAATTGATGAAGGTTTTGGATTGAAATCCTTATGCCTTAGGTCAACATGTAAATTATAAGTCTTGGGGTGTAGCATGAACACCTAAATGAAGGCCTTACATGATGGACCAGTCTAGGAGGACCAGACCTATGAATGGTCGGAACAATTCTGACCTTAGGAAACAGTTTGATCGACTGCATGGCATGGACTCGCCGAGTCCGATGAACAGACTCGGCGAGTAGCTTGGAGAATAACTGGGACTCGTCGAGCTGTTCTTCAGACTCTGCGAGTGGAGTCGGGGTAGCCCCGCGATTCTTCCAGGAGTAACTCGTCGGGTCAAGGAGGATACTCGACGAGTAGAAGGGAATCTTAGAGGATTGGAGGACGACTAGACTCGCCGAGTCCGGTCGAGTTGACCGTGGACCGTTGACCAGAGTTGACCTATGTGTGATTTCTTAGGGTCAGTTAACTTGGAAGATAAAAGTGTTAATAAGGGATATATGATATTATAGGGAGTTTGTAGCTCGGCGGATCGAGTACGAGTGATTTCAGGAGTTGCTAGCTTTCAGTATCCACGAGGTGCCCGGAAGGGTTTGACTGTGTGACCAGAAGGTCGGATATGATATGTGATATATGTGCTATATGTGGTAAGTTAATTGTTATGCGTGTTGTGTATGTTTATATGGGCCGGAAGGCAATATGTTATGGGCTAGAAGGCAATATGTTATGGGCCGGAAGGCGATTATGTTATGGGCCGGAAGGCGTTGTGTTGTGGACCGGAAGGTCAGGGCCTGGAAAGGCGTATATGTGTAAGTTGTATATTGGGGAACTCACTAAGCATTTATTCTTACAGTTGTTATGTATGTGTTTCAGGTACTAGCGAGGACCGTGGGAAGGCGCCGGCTTGATGCGTACACACTGATTGATGTTTTGAGATCTTGGGAATTCTATAATTTGTATTTCGACTTAACAGTTGGAATAATTATATTTAGTTTGAATAAAAATACTCTATTTGTTTGAAATGAAAATTTTGTTTGAAAATTTGTGTTGTTACAATTCAACTTCTAGATCCGGCTTTATTTAAGCATCCTTACTCATAAAGTCAAAACCTTTAAGCCTTGGCATGGCTGTAAAGGCTCTTACACTCCTTAACACCTTTCCATTTCAACTCAAGGATCTAGACCTCATGCATGGCTAATCATTCACGTCCAAGATTACATTTTTATGAATCTACAACTGAAATGGACCAGAAATATGATGGATCTAAGCTAATGGAGACCACTTGCTCATAAAGTCTCCACCTTTGGGACCAAAACCCTAGAAAATGGTCCATAAAGCATACAACAAGAACTACAAGTCAAGATCCAAACTTTTTACCTTAGAATGAAGCTCCAACCTTTGCTAAGCCTAGATCTACACTTGAACACCAACTTCTAGCCTTCCCAATGGACTCTTCTTCTCCTTTGCTACCTTGAAATGACACCACAAAGCTTAGAACACTCACAAATGGGCTAGGAACGAAGGAACACTCTCTTAGGGTTTCTTTTTGAGGGATGGTGGCTGAGGAGTCAAGCCATCTCATTCCTTTCATAGCCAACCACAACAATTAGGGTTTTGGGGTCTGGACCAGTTACGCCCAGCGTAACCTTGGGTACGCTGGAGGACGCGTTTAAATGAAGCGCGTGAGTACGTGCAGCGTACTCCTTGTACGCCCAGCGTACTCGCCCAACATACAAAACCCTAAAATGACAACAAATGAAAGATGAAGGGCTAAATAAAAGGGTACCTGGATTTCGGGCTGTTACACAAAAGCTTATTGGAAAATTGATTTATCAAACTATTACATGGCCTGATATTTTGTATGATGTTCAGTTGTTAAGTCAGCACATGCACAAGCCCTACAACTCTCATGTTAATAATGCTTTCGGGTTATTGAGGTATTTGAAAAATGGTCAAGGTATGGGTATTCATTTAGTTAAGTCAAATTCTTTTGATTTAGTTGGTTTTGTTGATGTTGACTAGGCTAAATGTTTGTTTAGTCGAAGGTCAGTTACAGGTTATCTTGTGTATATAGGAGGGTCACTTGTCTCTTGGAAGAGCAAGAAATAGAGTACTGTTTCTCGCTCATCCACAGAGTCTGAATACAGGGCTCTAGGCAGCATAACATGTGAAGTTATATGGATTTTAAAATTACTTTTTGATTTGAATATAAAACCAAAGTTACCTGTAAATATTCTTTGTGATAATGAGTCGGCAATTTTGCTTTAAATCCTGGCTTTCATGAAAGAACAAAGCACTTTGAAATTGATCTACATTTTGTAAGAGAAAAAATTGAAAATAGAGTGTTAAAAGTTAATAAAATTTTATCTTTAGAACAAAATGCGGATATTTTGACCAAGTCTCTTGGTAGTAGTCAACATGAATATATTGTGAATAGACTTAATATGATTAATGTTTTTAAAAGTAACTAAAAATTGTTTTCTGAAATTAATGTTTAGTTTGAGGGGCATGTTCAGAAAAGTAAAGGTTTTAATATCAAACTTAAACATTAATTTATAAAGGATTCAGGGTAAGTATTGTATTTTATATACTTGCGTGGGTGTGTTATGAAAAGTGTGCAGGTTATGTCGGGTTTATACGCGGGTTATCATCCGGGTTATGGGTGTATCCATGGTGTTAGTGACCCAGGTATATATCTGGTAACTTTGTTCATGTTGAAGAGTTAGATCTAGATTAATAGATTCAGTTGTTCATATGAGAGTGAGTTTTTTATGTAGTAAGGTTTGAGTTGTAATTTGTTTGATGTATAAACCATCTGTTTCATAGTGAATGAAATGATAAAGTTGGGAAATCGTTGAGTTGTTTAGATTCTTTAGATTTGTATAGGATTAGAGTGTTTCTTGATGTAAAAGATCTTTAATTAAAGCGTGTTCTTCTTATTTCTAATGTGTTCATAAATTTTATCAGAAAACATTAACCAACATTATCAAATTTAAGAACTAACAAGCGTAAATAATTCCTTTTGTTTTATACTTCAATAACTTATGATATCTTGAAAATTTTATCAAACTTGATTGTTTGTTGAAGTGGACGAATCCATTGGTTATTTTCTTCCCGATGGAGTTTGAGCTTAAAACCAAACCATATAATATAACAAAAAAAAGTTTTTCTCAATTCAAATATATTTTCATAGATATATTTCAGGAACTACAATCCAAAACCATTAAACTTCAATTATCTATTACAATGTAATTTTCTCTTAGATAAGCAAGTAAACAAAAAAAAAAAAAAAAAGACACTTTATTGCCATGACAACCAAAATCCCCTTTAAGTCGCACGTAAAAGTACACTTTGTTGTTGAAAATCACCTATGGAAGGAGTTCTCTACCCCTCAGGTGGAAGTATGGATGTGTACATCCCCTTACTCCCACGAACTAATGGGAATTGGGCATAGTAATAGTTGTCGTGTTAATGTATAACATATAAACATATGCACAAGAATCTAGTGCAAAAAACCAACACTACAAGAAAATTTTGATTTAGCTACGGAAAAATTCCGTAGCAAAAAACTGAAACTCTGTAGCTAAACATAAATAACTACGGAAGTTGCTACAGAATTTGTCATGGATATTTCGTAGCTATATCTCTTGTAGCAAATTGTTTAGCTATGGAATTATAGTTCCGTAGCAATTTTTCTACAGCCCTTGCTACCTCATCTATTACGTAGCAAGTTAACTACAACAAACATCCATAATAATTACGTAACCATGGGTTCCGTAGCAAATTCCGTAACTGTTTGTTCTGTAGCAAATTCTGTAGCTGTTTGTTTCGTAGCAAATTTCGTAGCTACCTGTTTCGTAGCAAATTCCATAGCTGTTGTTTCGTAGCCAATTTCGTAGCTGTTGTTTCGTAACAAATTTCCTAGCTACTTGTTCCGTAGCAAATTTCGTAACTACTTGTTATGTAGCAAATTCCATAGTTGTTTGTTCCGTAGCAAAATCCATAGTTGTTTGTTCGTAGCAAATTTCGTAGCCATTTTTCCGTAGCAAATTTTATAGCTATTTGCTATTTTTTTCGTAGCCATTATGCCACAACAATAGGTTCAGAGCAAATCACTATGGTAAAAATATTCAATAAAATTAAATATTCAATTATAATTTTCATAAAAAATATATAAAAATATAAATTTAATAGTTACATTGATTTTTATAGATATATTACATCATAAAAATTCTTCTACAAGGTTACCAAACCATCAAAACTAAATATTAATTAAAAATAAAGTCACACACTTCAGATTTAAACCATTACGAACACACAAATAGCCATAAGTACTCAGCCAAAATGTAAAATCTGCAAAACCAAATTTACAATCAACATGATTAAAAATAATCTCTTGTATGTTAATAACGACCAAAAATGAAAGTACTTTAATTTTGGACAAAAAACCGTAAATATCATAAATACAAGGACCATTTTTGTAATTATACTTGACAATTTTATCAAATAAATCAAAATATAAATGCACTTACACCACGTACCACTTTCTTGGAGGATTTCATGTGATACATTAAAAGGGAAGATCATTGGAGTCAACAACACCTGTCACAAAACTTAGGTACCATGGAAGCTAAAGAAAATATAAAAAGAAAAAGAAAACGGTTAAAAATAAATCATTTTATCCCGCAAAAATACATTGCTATTAATCTTACCAATTTTCCATCAAAATCATATGAATTGAAGACACATTTGCCATATAGTCTTAGATTCTAGGTATTCATTAATCGTCTTCTTGTAGATATCATGATATTCCTATGTTGTAACTTCTTTAGGATTCCTAAGCTGAAAAAAAAAAAAAAAAAAAAAAAAAAAAAAAAAAGGTTACACATATCTAAAAAACTTGAATATTATTTTAAAAACATAAACTTTAAATTCAAACATTTGTAAATGACCTATATATGTTGTGTGTTGTTAGTGAGATCCCACTTCCAGTACTTCTCAATAACTTTCTTGGTTTTCTTCTTTTTCTGTTACAAACAAAGAAACTATATAAAAATTAGATCTCCATCTTACGCTACATGAACTCGAATATATAAATAAAAAAAATGTGCTTACCTCAACATTGTAATCAGTCCCACTCAGACCGATCTTCAACTACCTTAACTTCTTTTGTGTATCCCTATTCTATTGTGGGTAAAAGAAAAAGTACATTGCCTATTTAGTAGTGTGACTAAAGTACAAGGCTATTTCCCACATTTTGAACATTAAAAGAGCAAAATTCATGCCTTTACTTTGAAGTTCAATGAGAAGTTTATTAACATCACGATTTTGCAGCAACTCTTTATGAACAAGAAGAGTTTCCTAGTAACAAAAAACATATTAAATAAAATAAATAAATAAAACAACAAAAATATGTTTTTTGCACAAGATATGTTAAGGAAGATAAATACCATAGCACTACAGGTTGCTGGGTAATCCGTTTTTGCATCCAAAATTATGTTTTTTCCTTTTTCCCTGTGAGCAGATTTTAAAACATAGACATGACAAATTTCATCTAGAAAGTTATAAAAAAAAAGCAAAATTACTAAAATGTCCTCAAATATCTTTTAAATTACGGAGAACATAAATCTTACCAGCATGAGTGAATGACCAAGAACATGTATTATTGTTGCAGACTTTATTTAAGAAATCAGTTTATTGTTGCCTCTTATAATCACAAGATTAACCCTTTACCAACTGCATATGGGAGACATTAATATGTTTCAATCACTAAAAGGTTAATTAAGAATTTAGTGCTTCTTCTCCGGTTGGTTCTAGAATGATAATACAAAACAATGTTGATTATAGTACCATATTCATGAAGAATAGAGATAATGAGTGCGTTAAAAATGTGTTTAAGGTAAAAAAGAAAATATAAGTGAGGTGTTTGTAATGTGATGTACCACACAAAAGCATAGTTACTGCATAGACTTATGAAGCTCAGTATTACAATTATTACCCATTATTGTGTATAATTCACAATGCTTGAGCAAGGTCTGATGATCACATGAGCACAAGAACAAACAATTATCGAATCATATAGATTCACTTGCATTGACAGAAATGGAAAACAATGGAAGTAATCAGTTGGATGTCTCAACTGCTCACCAGAGTTTTCAAAACATGGATGTTGATCTTTGTTTCAAAACTAATGATGATCAGAATCAGATTAGCCCTTTTAGAAACTTCCTACAGAGGGACTTTGGTTATAACATGACCCAATCATCAGTTGTTGGCTCATCTTGTGCTACCACAACATTAGTGAATTCACAAAATGCTCCCAAATTCTAATACTCCCTTACAATTGGAGTCCTAATAATTATCCCAAAATAAGAAGTAAAAAATCACAGGTATCCTCACAAATTACATAAATGGACTCTAGTTAGGAACGGTGAATGTAGTACAAAAATAGCTACAAGTCCAAGAGACATTGATTTGACGATTAAACATGGTAAAAGATCTCAGAAGGCTATAATCAAACAAACTAATCACAAATCCCGAATAGACATACGATATTCCAAGCAGAGGAACTATAATCAATAGCAATGTCATCAATAATTAGAAATTGGTTCATGTAAATGCCGATCAAAAATCGTATATTTTTTCTTAGCCATCAAGGGTGAAACCACTAAATTGGCAAACAATTTGACTCAATCGATTGATTTTCTCCACTACCACATAAAAGTTAAGAATTGTTCAACCAAATCTGCATTGCAAGTAGATAATCGATTGCAAAACAAATAAATTTGAGAATTTAAGAAACTTATGACTTATTTATGTTGAATAATCTAATGGAGAGATCAATATCCTTCAAGCCATTGGATGATAGAACGAGAAAATGGAGCAAAAAGAAGAGAGAAGAATGTTACCTGGTGAATGCGAAATCCCTAGGAGCTTTAGATTTGCTTGAAAAGATGCTTGTATTGGGACGAACGAAGTTGATTTCGATATGTGTAGGGAGAATGCAAAATCGATTAACGTGGTGTTCAGTTCGCTTATATAAACGAATTGATGAATTCAATTTGGATTTGACTTTTTGGAGTCAAATAAGGTTCGATTGATTTTGGTTGTTCACAACATGGACGTTAAATTCCTTGGGGACGATCAGGTTTCGCATTGAATGTTTGTACTTCGGGTCAAAATTGAGTTCGCATCTACGATCAGCTATTGGGGTTGTTAATGCTTTGCTTTGCTCCTGATGTGTGGTTTGTTCATTCGCATCTAGTAACAAATTTGGGGAAGAAAGAAAAGTGTTCGCATATGGTCCTTACAGTTTCAGTGTTTTGGCAGTTACTACCCACTTTCGCAATAGGAGTAAAGTTTTGTGAAGTATGCAGAATTTTCTATTCGAATCCCTACAGTTTATGCGAAGTGGCAAATTTTACCTAGTTTCACATTTGGCGTATTTTTACCAAATAGCTTCCTCTGCTATTTTAACGACCGGCGTGATGGGTGGCTGAGCAACAGCGGCAACAAGTTGAGAGAAGGAGAGATGCGATCAGCATCCGACGATGATGGGTTTGAACGGGACACCTCTAATTTGGGTTGGGAGGAAGTACATTTGTGTGGATTTACAAATTTACCCTTAATAAAACATTGAAACAAACATTATGGCTCAAGTTCATCAAATGATTCTTTCTCTTTTCTTTTTTACTAAAAAAACAAAATAAAACAGTTTTTTTTTTTTTTTTTTTTTTTGAAAAAGTCGGTACAAGGCTGAGGGTAAATAAATTTTGATTTAGGGGTAATAATTTTCAAAACCTAAAAAATATGGGGATAATATTATTATATGAAAATTAGCAAATGTATGTCATCAACATCTAAAAATTACAAAATATTTATAATGTAGAAATTATATTATAATTAAATTTTCAAAACAATTAAAAATAATATTTAACTTTTTTTGTTGAGTTTTCAAAGATAATTGTGTATTTTTAATATTTGCTACGGAAACATATTTCGTAACTACTTGACTACGGAATTTTCCGTAGCCAAATACCTATGGATTTGGATTTCGTAGCTATTTTGCAAATTCACCTTTTTGTAACAAGTTCCATAATAAATTAACTACAAAATTTTCCAGCAAAATAGCTACGGATCCCAATTCCATAGCTAACTAGCTACGCATTTTTTATTTCGTAGCCAATTATGTAGCCAACTAGCTATATACATGGATTTTGTAACAAGTTTCATAGAGAACTAGCTACAACCAAAAAATTTGTAGCATTATTTGTAGTAAACTAGCTACGGATTTTAACTTTGTAGCGACTATTCAAGATTTAGCTACGGAATGCAATTCCATAGCCATTTCCGTAGCAAATTAGTTACAACCAACCATTTTGTAACATATTCCGTAGTAAAATAACTATAAATTTAGATTATGTAACAACTTTACGTAGCTACTTAAAATTTAGCTACAAAATGCATTTCCGTAACCATTTATATAGCAAAATAGCTACGACAAGTCGTTTTGTAGCGTATTCTGTAGTAAAATAGCAACGAGTTTTTATTCCATAGTAACTTTGTGTAGTTATTTATGATTTTTCTTGTAGTGCAAAATGTGTAAGAAAATTCTACACACGTTCCTTTGCGTTGATTTCATGAGCTACAAACCCAATGTTTTCCTCTCAGCTAACTTTGAGTTCAAATCTTTCACAAATCGAGTTCCTTTATTTGTCGACGCTTTTTGCCACCATGTTACAAGTTCATCCTATAATTAATAAAAGACATAAAGAATTAACAACAAAAAAAAAAGGTAAATGCTATCCGTGTTTGAACTTGAGATCTTATTGATAGATTCTCACTCAATTTACTTTTTCTTTTATTAAGTGTGTCCAAATAGATTGTTGTCTAATACTTACACTTGGAAAATAAAAGGAAAAAAATATGTTGTCAAACGTTAGGACTTAATTAACAAGGAAAGCCTCATTTTCGTGACTATCTCAAAAATGAAAAGCGATGGCTAATTACCTCAAGAAAATCACAATTAGAGACATATTGACTTTCTACCAAGCATTCAACACCTCCAACTTTGACAGGAATAGGTTGCTTTAGACCTCTCCATGGGTTTTCTCCTTGTAACCCTGCAAGATCATGAAGATATATCAATGTCATACGATTTGTTGTTCACAATATTTTTTGTTTTCTGTCCTACTAAGTGGTATTTAATAAGCTATAAAATGATTAGTTAAAGCTTCTATTAGACTATAGGTGTGTTTGGCACTGAGCTTTTGGAAGCGTTTGGGAGTTTCTAACTTTTAGCTTTTGATAAAACGATTTAGTTTAAACAAAAAGTTTTGTTTGGCAGTACGAGTGTTTAGCTTTTAGTTATAACAAAACGCTCCGATTCTAAAAGCTACTTTATATAGCGTTTAACAAAACGCTCCTGAGCTTTTGAAATCAATTTTCATAATTACCCTTAAAAATATATTTATATATTTATTGATTTTTAATCAATTGTACTTTTATGTAATTTTATATATTTCAAAAGCTTTCAGCTACTTTTGCCAAACATCCATATAACAAATAAAAGCTACAGCTTCCCACTACCAGCTACGTGCTACACGCTACACGCTACACGCTACCAGCTAATCGCTATTTGCTTCCAGCTAACAGCTACTTTTACCAAACACACCCTATATATCTATCAAGTCATGGAGAATGGAGGGAGTGATACTTTGACATGGGCATATTATAGTTTAATCCACCACATATGGATAATTACAAATAGATTCCTCGAGAATTGTCATGGGCAATCTTGGTTCCATTTCCATACGCTCATTAATGGCTTCTTAGAGTGGCATTAAATCTAATTCCCGTGCAAGTATATATATGCCTTCCAAATTCATCCTTATTATACAAAGAACGTTACATGAGCATGATTATATGAGTAGTGTTATTGGACATATTATTCTGTTGAAATAATTAGGATTAAAAGCAAGGAATAGCAACATAGGTTCTTTTTTCTTTATTGTTCATTTCTTCTTATTACAACATTGTATTTTAAAAATATGAATGATTACAACAAAAGAAATCAAAACTTACGGCTAGATTTTTTTTAATTTTTTAAAGTATGAAGTCTGATTTAGAAAAAGATTGAAAGCATCATGACATAATATACAATGAAACGGAACTACGCTTTTTAAAAATAATATGAAATGAATACCTGTTATGCATGCAACATAGTACCTTGATCCCCCTGCTCCCTCTGCCCATTTGGCAACCCGTAAACGTAGAAAATACCCATCTAAATGTGCAAACGGCAATCCAGAATTCGTCCACCTGGCATTTCATAACACAACATTCAACGTAAATTCACTTCAAGATATCATGCAAATAAATAAAATATTAAAGATCTTCTTACTTGAGGATATCTGTACGTGATAACCTAAGCCTCCTTATTGTGTCAAAGATATCTTTTGGTGCTTCTTTAGTTACTCTTTCGTACAAACTTATGCGTTTCACAACACCCTTGACCTCTTTCTTTTTTATATTTATTAAATCGAGAGATTCATGACTACATTTGTCAGCTTGTGTTATTGGTTCATGTGGTAGACCAAGAGAGAGAAAAACACTTTGAAATCCCATTTTTCGGCTCTCCAAACTCGGAGTTTTGTCATAAACACTTTGATTTTCGTGGGATTTTAAACCTTTCAACATATTTGATATCCAATTCATGAAAGAAACATCATTGTCAACCTTGCGTTGTTTCTTTATTCTTCTAGTTCCAAGAACCAATTGTTGTTCAAAGCTCACTCTCCTCTTCCTTTTAGTCAGCAAATTACCACTTTTGCAACTTTCCATGCTTCCATGGCTATCAACCATGTGTTTCTCATGTTGTGTATTTTCAAGAAAAGGGTCGTTAAAGCAACCATCTTTTTCAATTGTAACATTACCCTTTTCAACATGTTCTTGAGGCTCACACTTAGTCAAAGGTTCAATTTTTAAAGCTGATTTAATATCTGAATCTGACTCATCAACACGGCTAGCCATTTCCTCTTCAGATACCTGGTTAGAAAATTGTTCGGATGCTCTTTGGTGTTGTGATCCTACAAGAAACCATATTTACCCTTTTAAAATTTTTCACTATAGCCTTGTAATTTCAAATTTTCTTACTACAACATTGAACTTTCTAAATATCTCATATTAGAACATTGTATTTATGAAAATGTACCAATTATAACAATGGGGTAAGCAATTTAAAAGATAGGACGTTACCACTTACTATTGCTATAATCAGATAGATAGTCAAAAGATAATATCAATAAATAAAAATACACTCTTGTAATAACAATAAATGAACATACAATGTGATAAAACACTTTTTGGCTAAAATATCACATACTTTGTAACAATGAGTGGTTACAAACTCGGGAAATTAAACTAAAAAAACGTCTTATTTCGAAAAAAAATGTTTGTCTTACCCTTTTCCTTGTTTGCTAAGATTGGATTTAATTACAAAGACAATGATTTGTTTGCAACAAAAGTCAATTATAATAGATAGTTAATAACTCATAAAATTACTTAAAAGTTCAAAGAATTCACCACTAATATCGCTTGTGCCAACGTCCAACATAAAACACGGTTTCTTCTCGACAAATTTGATGCTTAAACCTGTTTGTGGAGACCAAACTAGCTCGGCTAATGTATCGGACCCCACAAAAGGCATCATATCTACCCTTGGATTTGCATTTGCACCTGCACCTGCAGCCATATTACTATTCTGCCATTGGTTAGTAGTATCGGCTACGAGACCTAAATTTGCTTTGGTATCGTTCATATATGCCATTAGCCAAATATTAAAGCCAATGAGAAATCCTGAAATTGGAAGTGAATTCAAGTTGAGATTCAACATGTAAGTTATAATCAAAACTTCGTATACAAAATAACTTTGTTGATCATTTTATTAGTATAATCCATAACTTTTATTATAAAACAAATGAAGAAGCAAGGTGGTATAATCACATGGGTTTGTAGGGAGCTGTCCATTTCATCATTTCTACTCTAGGTTGGGTGTTTGACTTATGTTTTGTTTTAATGAAGCTTTTCAACCAAATAAAATTCCTTTTGTGTATGTTTTAATGGAGTAGATGATATTGTCGAAAAAAGTTATTGTACATTTATTATGTATGTTCTTTTTGGTGTAATGTAAGTTTGGAAGAAAAATTGGTATGTGTTTTTCTCTTCCACATCACACATAGGAAAACAAATACACTCCATCTTCTTTTTTGTTTTTTCTTCTAAAAAAAGTTAAGTGACTATAAAGGCCTTAAACCAAAATTTGGTATTCAGGCTACAAGTTTATGCCAAAATATCAACCTCGATCTCCATCCATGGGAGATTCGTCAACGAATGAGAATGATGGGCAGATTACACTAAACTATCCTATGATGTCAAGAAACAACTATGTTGCATGGGCCATTAAAATGAAAGTATTCATGCGCGCATAAGGTGTTTGGGATGTTGTAGAGCCTGGTAAACCAGAAGATGTAGTTGAAGTTAGAAAAGATAAGATAGCATTTACATCCATCTATCAAGGAATCCCAGAACATATGTTGTTGTCATTGGCAGAGAAACAAACAACAATGGAAGCATGGGAGAATCTACAAATTATGTACATTGGGGCTAATAGAGTAAAGACAACAAGGGTGCAGACGTTAAAAGCGGAATTTGAAGTTCTATATATGAAGGAGATGGAGACAGTAGATGAGTTTGCTTTGAAGATAAACAATGTTGTAAGTAATATTCAGGCCTTAGGAGACAAAGTTGGGGAAGAGTATGTAGTGAAGAAGCTACTACGAGCAGTTCCATCAAAGTTCTTGCAGATTGCATCAACCATTTAGCAATTCACAGACCTTGATAAGATGGTTGCTGAAGAAGTTGTTGGTAGGTTCAAAGCTCACAAGGAGAGAATATGAGGGCACAGTGAAGTTGAATAAAAGAAGCTTTGTTGACTCACCAATAGTGGTCTGAAAGAAACAAGAAGCAAAGTAAAGAGGACTCAAAATCCTTTCACAGCTCCTACCATAGTAGTCCAAGCAATCAATGAGGTCGTGGCAGATGGAGTAACTATAGCAACCGTAGAAGAGGCCATGGAAGAGGTCGCAGAAGAGGCCATGGAAGATGTGTTACTGACCAACAACGAGAAAGAAATTGGGGGGGGGGGGGGGGGGGGGGGGGGGGGGGTTCATCTAACAATCACGACAATAACAAAATCCAATGTTATAATTGTGAAGAATATTGGCATTTGCCTCAAAATGTAGAAGCCCAAGACGTGAAAGGAACCATGAAGCAAATCTGACCCAAAATCATGTTGAATAACCATTATTATTGACTTCTTTTGACAATAATGAATCAATGAGGGAGGTGTTACTGAATGAAGAAAAAGTGACACCAAGACTGAAGTTAGCAAGTGATTAAACGAATCAGTCAAATGTGTGGTATCTAGACAATGGAGCAAGTAACCACATGAATGATCAGAAAGACAGGTTTTATGATCCAAACCAAACAACTCAAGGTTATGTAACGTTTGGGCGTCGCAAAAACAAAGGAGTATAGTTCTTTCATCACGCGAAGCAGAATTCATGGCGGCAACAAGTGCAACCTACTAAGGGATATGGGTGCATCGATTGCTTAGTGAATTAACACCAAAGAAAGTGGTACTGCATGTCACCAACAAATCAAGCATAAATTTGATAATAATAATAATAATAATAATAATAATAATAATAATAATAATAATAATAATAATAATAATAATAAACAGTGTTTCATGGGAGAATCAAACACATTGATACAAGGTTTCATTTTATTTGAATATATCGAGAAAGGGGATATAAAAGTCACCCATATGAGTAGCAAGGAATAGAAGGTAGATATTCTCACAAAATCCATGGCAAGCAAGAAGTTTGAGGATATGCATAACTTGTTGGGAGTGAAGCAAATAAATATTATGGATTAAAGGGGAAAATATTAGTATAATCTATAATTTATTTTTTCTCTAATAAATGAAGGTTTTTTTTTGACACTTGTCACACTCTCAATCATTTTGCCACATGTCATTTTGTGGTTATTTTGAATTAATTTTTATTTCATATGTAGTTTTGTGGTATTCCTATTTTATTAGATTTCACATGGTATTTAAATTTAGTAATAAATGTATATCAATTTCATTAATGCACATTCCTTATAATTTCAATTTTTAAAAATAAAATCTCATTAATTTGCTTCAATTATTTTATCTAAATGGTTTGTTTAAATTTAAATGAGAAAAAAAATCACTTTAATTTTAGTACTTCAATATTTTTCTTATTTTTCTTATAAATTCAAATTTCTCAAATGTTTATACATATTTAATTGTTTTAAATACACTCATATAATATATGGGGCTCACACCTAGTTTATTATAAAACAAATCAAGATGCGGGTGGTACAATCACGTGGGTTTGTAAGGAGCTGTCCATTTCATCATTTCTAATCTAGGTTGTGTGTTTGACTTATGTTTTGTTTTAATGAAGATTCTCAGCAACATAAATATCCTTTTATCTATGTTTTAATGGAGTATGTGATATTGTCCAGAAAAGTTATTGTACATATGTTCTTTGTGGTATAATGTAAGTTTGGAAGAAAGAGTCGAATTAGTCTCAACTTTTGGCATTTGCTTTTCTCTTCCACAGCACACACACGAAAACAAATACAAATTCATCTTCCTTTCAATTTTTCTGCAAAAAAAAAGTCAAGTGATTATAAAGTCCACAAACCACCATGGTTTTAAGTTTTAACTTGATCTAGAGGTTATTGGGCCAATCTATAACTTTGGGCTTTGGGGTGTTCCAAAAATGATCTCATGTATTTTATTTTGGGTGTAGGAATTAAGTGAGGGAGTTTATACAATGCATTCCATATGTAAAAAATATGAGAATTGTAAATTCTCAAAGCAACTATAAATACTCTCAAGCATCCAAATATCTAACACATCCTATAAGTAACAAGCATCACTTGAGACACTCGCAAAATACGTCGTGGGTCTTTATCGTAAGCTTTAAGCTGTGAGCTTCTTATTTTGTTATGCTAGGGAGTCTCCAACCTAACAACAAATCCCATTTTTGCAACATTTTACACTAATCCAACACAATTTGTTGTACTATTTTGGCGTTAAACTTTGATGTATACAATTTAGTTTTTCAAGTTTGAGTTTAAGCATGCGTAGTTAATTTAATTTTATAGTATATTTTAACTATAATATTTGTTTTTTTAAGCAACTCCTAAACTACACCAACTGTTTCCAAGACTTGAACACTTAACTCTTTGAGAGGAACATTTTTTCCATTTTATGATATTGCTAGGCTATATAGCCTTTTGGTGTAATATTTGTTGCTTGTAATTGTATGTTATACATTAAATTGTTATTAATTACTTATATATGTATAAGTTATTTAGTTACAATTGTTTTAATTATATAGTCTTTAAATTTGTTGTAACAAAAAGATATAAGACAAATATGTAAAAAGCATATAAATAGAAGGGGTATTGTTGAAAATTTCTATAGGATAATGAAAAGGAATGTTGGAATATTATATTTGGAGCAAAAGGTGGTTTAACCCGTTGAATTTTCTAAGCACTATCTTTATTTCTCGAATAACACCACTAATCACATCTTTAGTTATTCTTATATCATACAAGTATCTTATCCATTATTGAAGTCCATCTTTTTGAATTTGAGTTAGGGTTAAGTTGTGAATTATTTAAAAAATAAATGATAAAGTGAAAACCATATCAAATTATAATTATACATAAAATAAGAAGATAGGTAACAATGACTATTGATCACATATATAGTGAATACAAATAAAACCGATCTGCTTATCATAAATCAATAGCATCAATTGATGTAACTACTTGATAGATACATTTATTTTTCCTAAAAGACATTTGACCTAAAGGTATAGATGTGTTCAAAATGTATCATTTTTAAATGGTGGAAGGTTTATATACAAAATGTATAGATTTAGAAGTAAAAATTATATAAATGTTTTAGCCCCTTCTATAAAACACAATAAATATATTTTAGATCGGAATGTTTCCCAAAAAGGAAACGTTCTCTATTTCTGACAACCATCCAAAAAAGAAAATTATTCCAATGTAAAAAAAAAAGCATTTTTAAATTCTCACAATTATTCCAATGTCAAAAAAAAAGCATTTTTAAATTCTCACAAGTCACAATTGAAAAAAAGAACCAAGTCATCTTGATATTTTCAAGTCCGGAAACAAATAAACCTAAATTGCCTTTGCATCCCCAAACTTTTTTTTTTTTTTTTTTTTTTTTTTTTTTTTTTAATTTTCATTAAATTAACAAAACAAAATCGGGAAACAAAGAAAAAGAAAATCAAGTTCAAATTCGAAGATGGAAATATATCAATATTCATTAGAACAAAAATGAGAAAAATCCAATAATTAGCTGACATCTATAAATCCACGAATCTATTGAGATCTCTATTAAAACCCCAAAATTTTATTTAAAGCTATAAACATCCAAACTATAAACATCCATACACACAAAGGTACACAATTAAACAAAAGAAAAACACCTCAATTGCAGATTATATATATAAATATACTCATCACATATTAAAACCTAGAAGAAATGGTGAAAAAGGACTCACCTTACACGCCACACGACCATGAATCGGTTGGATTCTCTCTGAAAAGTCAAAACCTCAATGGTTGACCTTCTTTTTGTATTGAACTGACTACTCGTTTTCTGAATTTAGTAAAGAAAATAGTCATACACAAATGGAGATAACACTAGTTGTGGGTTTTTACGAAGAGAAGAGAGATGGAGGAAAAGAGTTTATA